AATAAGATTTTATTATGGAGTTATTTTGATAATGATATAATTGCAAATAATAGTGATTCATGTGTCCTTATCTCTTTGGGGACGTGTTCTTCAGATGGGTTTTTGTTGGTCTGCTTTAGATACAGGGTCTTACTTATGCAGCCCTGACTGGCCTGGAACTCACTTTGTAGATCATGCTCATCTCAAACTCACAGAGATCTGATTGCCTCTGCCTCTTAAATGCTGGGGTTAAAGGAATGTACCATCACATCTGGCTAGATGGGCTGTTTAGAAGTGCTCTATGGTTGGTGGGATGGAAAGGAACGGTAGAGTGAAGGGAGGATTCTACCTTGGATATCAGCTTAGTACCCCAGATGACACTGAGCGGCATGTAAAATTAATTTGCCTGTGTGATACAGGGCTTTCTAATTAGTTTGGAATCAGTTACCACTTAACACTGTATGCTCTCCTCTGCTAACTCACACGTCTCCAAGACTTTTTGTGACATCACTTACAAAAAGTGTAAACTGGCAATTAATGCCTAGAGATCACAACATCCTGTTGGAAATCAAGTCACCGAATCATCTTGGTATCTTTGAACCGACTTTGGGACACATTTTTATCAAGTGTAGCAGTATATACAGTGGATGTCAAAAGATGATTTTTTTAAAAATGACACGCAAAGATTGAGACCAAAATGAAGCAGTAAACTGTGGCACTTTGGTTAAATTACTGTTTCTCTTCTGAGATGGATGGCCAGAGATAGCCTCATCTGGTTTTCAGCTGCATAGTGGTCTAGCTGGATTGCTGTGGAGTGTTACAGCATTGTTTCATGTTGAAAGATAGCATTGCTGTTGATAGGTGAGTCCACCTAGACTTGTGAGGTGGTGTTTTTAGTCACAGTGGAAATTACTTTAGCAATTTGGATGTTAAAATTCTAAAAAATCAGAAATTCCGTACGGTGTCAGGTGACCATATTCTGGGGACTAGTTCTTTGCTACCCATGACTCAAGCTTTACTGTCTCAGTGCTGATGGGCAAATGTGGAAACATTTAGAATTGCACACAGTTACGTGTACTGTTAGGTGTAGTCAGTCTCTTTATAATCTGCTTAAGGCATGATTTAGATATCAACCATGAAATATTTATGTTATTTCTTAGTAGTTTATCACATGGGGGTGTATTTTCTTATTTCTTTTATTTTTCAGTTAGAATAGTAAGAGGAGGGAAAAAAAACCCCAAAAAACAAAAAAACTTCCTTACAGTGAGCACCAAGCTACAACCTAAGTATTTTTAAAGCCATGTACATTCTTCTTTATACATTTATGACAAAGAAAACAATTCGTCTTGCCTGTGTAAGCTAGCACTTACAATGAAAAAATAAACATCTGCTTTCAGTGCTCAATTCGGCATCTGTTTGCTGAGCACTGATGTGTGTTTTAGTCTCCGTATGTTGAGCTCTCTGGGCCACATGTATATAATAAGTGCTCAGACACATCCACACCTACTGAAATAAAAACACCGCCATTGCTGTGGCTGCCTTTCCACCCAAAGCATGTGATGCCACCAAACTCAGCTTTGGAACTGGTGTTGAAACCTGCTTATTCTAAGAAGGTGTCGCTATGCTTTTGACTGGCTGATTTTTGCTCCTTTGCTCTGATAAACAATTACTTGTTCAGTGATTAATTACCCATGTGCTTTCTTCTTTCCCAGGAAGATTCAGAGAGGGCCAGGCATTCTCACCGGTCTGGCCATCACCGTCCTTATCTGGTTTGTAGTGACATATAGACCTGCCTGTAGTGCTGTTCCTCATTGGCTTCATGTAGCCACAAACTTTTAATATGTTTGCTTTTATTTTTATCAGGGAGTTGAGGATACATTGTCTCTTCGAAGCCTTGGCAGTCACAGGGTTGGTATTCTAAGCTGTTAATACAGAATAGCAAAGCTTTAACAATGAGCTTCCCTCGGCATCAGTGTATCTGAGCAATCTGACAGTGCCCACTTATGCCTTTACCTTTAACATAAGTGAACAACACTGGCCAAGCTCTTTAATAGAAAGAGTTGCTATCTCTCAAATTATTGCTAGAAGTGAATCAATTCTAAAATCTTGAGTATTTTTATCTTAACACAGGTCTGTTCTTGTTTTCTGTAGAAATACCTTTGATTTCAGAAAAGTATCACAAAATGATAAGATTGAGTTTTATAGAATAACATCTGCTTTGTCCTAATTTTTAGATTTTTCCTACTTCCATATCTTAAACTGACAATCTATTGAATGAGCGTAGCTTTGGGGCTTGTCTGGCTAATTACAGTTATAATTACATGGAATTATTGACTTGAAAATTTTTCTTGCCATATGTATAGGAATTATGCTTTGACATTTTAATTAATATTTTATAATGTACCAGCCTTTTAGCATAGATCATTGTAAGTAGAGTGATGATTTGCTGCCTAAAATCCTGTGTGTTGTGCTGAAGCACAACCTCTCCTCTTGCTTCTTAAAGAATTGTGCCTTAAAACAGTGTTTTGCATTTGTATTATTTTTTTTTCATCAGTAAAACCATCTTTCATATCAAGGGGTGTATTTGTTCTAACTCTGATTTCCTTCTTACTTTATATGAAATGTACTACTTAAGCTGTTCTGACAAACCATGTGTTAACATTTTTATAATTGTAAATTCTTCATTACACTCCAATACATTATTTTCTTTTGGTGTATGCATTCTATTGTGTTTCTAGAATAACTTTATAAACTAGTTTCAAGTCATAAATGCTCTGTTTAGTTATAAATTGTAGATTTGTTTTATAGTATTTACAAATGTTTGAAGAAGTTTAAGATAACCAGTGGCTTAATAGGGGGCTAGAAAGCTGATTCAGCATTAAAAAGCAATTCTTAGCACCCACGTGGCTGCAGCTCACAACCATCTCTAACTCCAGGTCTAGGGCATCTGATGCCCTCTTCTGGCCTCTGCAGGCACCAGAGATACACAGTGTGCACATACGTACAAAAACACTCTTTTAAATATGTTTTTTATGTGTGTGAATGTTTTTTAGAAGGAAAATGTATGCATTTGTCATGCTTGCTGCTAGAGGTACTTTTTCTCTCCTCTTTAAACAACTTTTTAAAAAATTATATAATGAGTCTACCAACTTGACAATCAAGAGCTATGAAATATTCCCTCTTCCCTTTGTGACCGGTTTCTTTGCTTTCAGTTATAATGCTCATAGTGTGAGTTTTCACAATTGATTATTGAGATGAGCATTTGTAAATTTGCATATGACCTTGGAGAAGCTGGATTATGTTAGTTGATCTTTAAGTTTGACCTAAGTCAGGGTACTTTAAGTCAAATTTCCAAATAAAAGAAATCTGCCATTAAGCTGATAAGGAACTATTTACCTGGAGTGGGTATAAAGCTACCAGGTAGATATCCCTTTAATGGAAATTGTATCAGTAAACATTAGAAATACAGTTTTAATTCTTCTTTTTAAAAATTATGGTAGCTGTAAAGATGTGTTCCCATGAGTAGAAGAAAACTCTTCGTGTTCTTTGAAGTTTGTTTTAGGTGTATTGGTGCTGGAGTTCATATCTGTACCATGTGTGTACAGTGCCTTCCGAGGCCAGGAGAGATTGTCAGATCCTCTAGTACTGGAGTTACAGATGATGTGAGCCCCTGTGTGGGTACTAGGAATTGAACCCAGGTCCTCTGGAAAAGCAGTCAGTACTATTAAATGTTGAGCCATCTCTCCAGCCCCGACTTTTTGTATTTTTAAATTTAATATAGGAGTACCAAGGATATAACTAAGTGATAGAGTTCTGGACTAGCATGTGCAAGGACCTGGGTTTAATCTCCATCACTGGAAGGAGAAAAACCTCATGTGAACTTGAAAACTAATAAAGGAGGCTGTATTGTCCTATATGTAGGTGTATGTATTCAACATATTTTACATGTATAGACCTTTACAAAATTAAGTGTGAAAGCTCATTATAAATTGTATTTCTTTTAAACAGTGTTCTTTGTTTTTAATGACTCTGGGGATAGAACCCTGTTCCAAGTGCTCCTTCAATGAGTCTGGTCAACATGTCCCAGCCCTCGAGATAATTTTTTTTCTGTTTTGTTTTAATTATATGACATTAGGAATCCCAACCATTTGGAGTTTTTGTTTGTTGTTTTATTTTGGTGATGGGACTCAGGGTATGTGGTAAACCGCTCAGCTATCACTAGCTCTGGATTATTGGCTTTTAAAATGACTTTACCATTTCCATTAATCTGAATATGTCAGACAATTTTTGTTCTCCGTAAAAGTAAATATGATGGTCTAAAATGGTGACCTAAAAATTCTTATGGTTTACCATATAATTTAGAGGTTTCAGTGTTTCTTTACTTGTGTTTTTAAACTTAAGAGTTATGTATTTAAAAGACTCGCACTGTCTTCACATTTCTTTGGTTTTGAAACGTTAGCAGTATGTGGATGTGGGTCAGGTGCACTTAGGGTTTTATGCTGCGTCTTTTAGGACTGTGAACTTTCCTTTTGGCCAGTTGGTTAGCTGTCAGAAACTACTCTGTTGGAAGGTGCCCTACCAGAAGCTCTGTGGGCTGAAATGCTATAGACATTAAGACTAAAAGTCAAAAGGGCAAAGTAAGCCTGAGCCTGAATCTAGACTTAGGAGAGGGAGGAGTAAGTCAAAGTCTTGGAGTGAGAAATGAAACCTGGTGTGCTTACTTGTTACGTAGAAAAGATTACTAATAATATGGATACTAGTAGCTGTCTTAAAAAATAGTATAAATGCTTGATTATTGCTTTGGGTACTGAATACAAGAAGACAGTAGTAGAAATCTCAAATTAGGAAATAGTGTGACTTTGAATCATAGGATAATCGCTATTCCTCATTAGTGGAGATTTTTTACTGTTCAGTTACTGTTCATTTAGTTCCTTGTTGTATATTAGTGGTTTGAAATAATTGTGGTGTATTCAGTTTTTAAATTATTCTTTAAATTTGTCTTTTGTTTAATTTCACTTAAGAGTTCATCGAAGGATATTACTGGGACACACTGGAGCAGAGCCAGTACACCCAAAAGGAGAGACATGATGGTGTGTAATTCTGAAATGTGTGGTCTTAGATTTTTATGTATTTATTGTTGATTTTCAGTGTTTTGGACATAGGAGTAACAGAAATAGTCTAGTAACACTTGAGAGTTTCTACTTTGTTTTCCTGTGAAAACTTTAAAGCAAGTTTCTCTGAGAATTGAAACTTTTTCCCCTTTTAAATACTGTTCTAGTTTTCCTTTATGTTACTGTGATAAAATCCTCTGACAGAAGCAGCTTAGGGGAGGAAAGGGCTTATTTGGTTCACACTTCTAGGTCACTGTTCCATCATCGAGAGAACTCAGGGCAGGAACTCAAGCAATAGCTTGGAGCAGAAACCTGGAATAACGCTGCTTGCTGGCTTGCTCACAGACACGTGCTTAGCTAGCTCGCTGGGATGGTGCTGCCCAAACTGGGCTGGGCCCTCCCACATCAATTAATAAGACAACACCTCTCCCTTCCTTCCCACTGTATGCCCACAGGCCATTGCACTAGGCAGTTTTCAATCAAGGCTTTAAAATCTCAGATAACTGTGCTACTCAAGTTGTCAAAGCTCTCCAAGAGAAATAGGTTATAATAGCATCCTTGGAAGTCTTTTAACTTGAGTCCTTAATGTTCTCTATTTTCCTTCTTTTGATAAATCATTTGTTTTTAAGTGACATTGCTACCAGCTGCCATTTATCAGAAAGATTCTTTTTGTGTGCCCAGTTGTTAATGTATCCACTTCATGGATTTCTCTACCATATATATTCTGGAATTTTAAAAACTTAGCTGGATCTTGCATTATATTTTGAAATAAGTTTTTTGATTCCACTTGTTAAAAATCTTTGCCTTTGTAAAATGCCCAGACAGTTCCAGAGAGGGTGAGAAGGCAGGTTTTCCTTGTTGGGGTAGGATAATTTAGGTGTAAGGATGTATGGTACTTTATGTTTTGGTCATGGATTTTTTTTTTTTAAATAAAAGAAATACTTTGGGAAAAGAAATAAATGAAACTTCTATAGAGAAGGGCCTTGATTTTCAGAGAAAAGTCACATACAGCATTTTCAGTGAATTTATACCAGTGGTAGAATTGCTGGTAGAATTGTACCACAGCCTTGTATTAAATGGAATGCATTTTTGAGGTTTCTGCTACATATGTTCTAAGTGATTGTCTAAATTAATACAAATAGGCTTTGTTTTATTTGAACTATTATTTTAATATCTTACTAAAATTGGATTGCATATTTTCATCTTCTAGAATATTTTAAGCTTTATAAAATTGTGAAATATATTTTATTCCATTATCTGGTCTATATGTACAGATTTCTAGTTCTCTGTGTATATGTATGTATGTATATATGTGTATATCTAGATATATAAATATATTGAAACAAGTTTCAGAAAATTATATATAAAACTAAGTATATGTATGTATAACAGATATTTGTTTTTTTGTTTTTTATTTTTTTGAGATAAGGTCTCACTGAATGGCTAGGCTAGCCTTGAACTCAGTTTCCTACTGCCTCAGCCTATTGAGTGCTGGAATTAGAGATGTGTGCCACCATGCCTAGTCCTGAAGTGGTAACAGCTCTTCTGTGTACAATACACTGATATTTTTCTCCTGTATTTTATTTGTTTAACTGTCAGTTAAACTCACTGAATTGACTTTAAGAGAGAATCAACTTAAATTTAGGAAAATGTTACTTTGGGTCAAATTTTTAAATAATATTACCAGAAGCCCTAAATCAGTATAAGAATGTAAAGAAAGATATTTTTACAAAATAGTATTTTTAAATGCTTTGTGATATACATTTACCTTCAAGTAAGATTGTTTAAAAACTTGTAAGCTAGAATGCTGAAAAAGCGTTGTTAGGAGACTAAATCCATTCATTTTCTTGGGTTTAAAATAGGATGTGCATATTAAAGGAATCCACATGGAAATGTGCATTCTCTGGTCTTATTAATTTTATATACTTTTGATTTGTATTTAATGTCATTTGCTTATCTACTGTGCATTCCACATTTTGTTCTGACCAAGTTTCTCATTTTGTTGAGCATTTCCTTGAGGAAATGCTTTTTAGGTGTATGTCTTTAAGGTTCAAGGAAAGGAAGTACCCTTGCTTTGATTCCAAGATTATTCTTTTGCAAGCCAGATCAGCTATGTGCTCTTCCTTGCTTTTGCTATTTTTCAAACGATGGTAAACAGTGGCAGCAGTCACAGAGATGAGGAGGAAAGCATCTTTGACCTTAAAATGGTTTATACTTAACATTAAAACTGCCCTTAGGCTGTATTGTTCCGTAATATCCTAAGGCTGAAGCATTTTACCATTGCTGATTCTGAATTTTGTTATTTGAAAGGAAAACGGAGGCTGAGGTGTATCTCATGATAAAATGCTTGCACAACATGGACAAGGCTCTAAGTGCAGCTAGAAGTCGGGGTGGGAGAGAATACAGCCTTCTGTATGCTTAGGATGGGGCTATGGGTGCATAGCACTGTGCCTGGCATAAAACAAAGTTAATTACACATGCCATTTAGCAATAACTTCTACTAAAAATGTAGAGGTTATATCTAAATATAATAGCTTTTGCATTTAATAATGTTTTGCTTTTGAAGTATCACTGTGTTGATTGTAATAATGACGAATATTGCTTTTTCCCCCTATGTTCCTGACTTTGGCAATGCAACCAACTTTCTCACTTTCCTGAAATGCAGTATGATACCCTCAAGGACAGATCATCAAGGCTTTCATCATTAGTATGTAGTGCATGACTTTGTGTTACGCGTGAGGCTTTTCTTTCTAAACACCAGTTGTTGCTAATCATAGATTATGACTAACTTTCATGGTTTTGTTAGGATCTTTTTGGGGGAAATGTGTAACAAAACAAAAACCATTGTTTTTGCAATTGTGGCATAATCTGTTATTGGAGTAATAGTTTTTCCCATAGACTTCAGGATCAGGCTGAGAGCATGGCTCAGTGGTAAAGCGCTTCCTTAGCATTGCAAGGCTGTATTTGCTCCCCAATACTACAAAAAACAAAAAACAAAAAATGCCTCAAATGGATCAAACACTTACTGGAAGAGCCAAGAGTTCTAACTCAGTAGTTCAGTCGTAGTTCCATCTTCTAAAGAAGAGCTGGTTCCCTGTCCTCACCTACTGCATAGGAGGGCTGGTTTGCTTATTTTTTAACTTTCTGCTTATTTATTTTGATTGTGTATGTGTGTCACATGGCACACACGTAGAGGTCAGAGGACAACTGGGAACTGTTTCTCTCCTGCTACCATGTGGATACCAAGGATTGAACTCAGGTCACCTAGCATCAGCCTTGGCAGCAAGCATCTTCATCCTCTGAGCCATCTCTCTCTCCAGCCCTCTGATAGTGTTCTGATACACCCTGAGCTACAGTAGCACAGACCTATGCTCATTTCATGTGTCATAGGCTGGCAGGTTACTAAATAAAACATCCAGCAGTGAGGGGTGGCAGCTGAAGATGCCCAAGAGTTTTGGCTTGACATATTGAATTAGCTAAGGAAGTCAAACTGACTTGTTTTCTGGGTTATGATTATGTCAGTAGATTGCCCAAGTTTCTAGACTGTGTAGTTTTCACTTAGATGTTCACAGTAAAGTATACAAGAATATTCACAATGAGAAAAATGAGCTTATCCTTACTGTTGAGGATCTGACTATGTGAAGTGGTTTTCCTAGGACAGCCTGTTGTCCTTGGCTGGTCTAGGGTACTTGCAACTGCAGTCTCAATACCGAGATTGAGTTTATTGTTCGCTGGTTGTTGTTGAGTGATAGTCCTGATCTTTGTCCCCTTGGGAGAGGTGATGTTTTTATATAATCACCTTTTCAAAGTACTTTGTGTGAGCTTAAGTACATACATTTTAGGTATTTCTCTTCTGAATGGCATATGCCAGGGATCTACTAACTTGGCTTGATGGCTGGAGAGATAGCTCAAGGGTTAAGAGTACTTACTGCTCTTCCAGAGGGCCTGAGTTCAGGTCTCAGCATCCATGTTGGCTAGCTCACAACGACCTCTAACCCAGTTCTGGGGATCCATGCTTTCTTTGGCATTTGCACGCCTAGACCATGCACACACACACACACACACACACACACACACACACACACACACACACACACACACACATTAAATCCCCCAAAGAGTGTTGTTTTCAGGAATGAAACGTCCTTTTGGCTGACGTGCAGCATTGTTTTTGCTTTTAGATACGATGACTAAGTTGGGAGGAGGAACAGACTCTCGTCACCTGTAGCTTCCTAGAGGAAAAGAAGTGGGGGACGAGACTCAAGTCAGGTGTATAGTGAAGGTCCCCTGTAGTCGGACTTTTCTTTGGGCTACCAGCTCACAAATAATGACATGGAGACTTCTTATTAATTATGAAAGCTCGGCCTTAGCTTAGGCTTGTTCCACTAGCTCTTATAACTTAAGTCAACACGTCTATTTTCATCTCCATTCTGTCATGTAGCTCATTGCCTTGTCTCTCCGTACTGCCCATGCTGCTTTCTCCATGGCTGGCTGGCAACTTAGCCTTGTTCTTCCCAGAGTTCTCTCTGCCCAGAAGTCCTGCCTGTACCTCCTGCCTAGCTATTGGCCTTTCGGCTTTTTATTACACCAATCACAGCAATACATCTTCATACAGTGTACAGATATCCCACAATAGTCCCCATAGGCATCCTTCTGACTCTGTGTCCTAATTAGGTTCCCTTTAGCCAGCCAGACTCCAGGTTAGTTAGTTCGAGAGGTAAGAGGGAGTCATGTGTCTCCAGACCACATAGCTTAGCCTTCCAAGTTTAGTCCATTTGTTACTGACAGGAAGTAGGCTGCATGCATACTACTCTGTATCATATGTACCTTTGCTATTATTTTATGATGAATTTCATTCTTAAAATCTCACTACATGACCATTAAAGTTAACTTACAATTTTTACTTACAGAATTATTCTTACAGTCACAGCTATGAGATGAAGAAGCGATCTTCTAGTTCTCATAAAGACCCCCTGGTTAGTTCTGCTTTGGAAGTTTGGTCTAGTGGTGATATTATGGACAGCACCAAATTACAAGTGGATTTCATTCTCACAGTTTGTTTTTAGAGACTTGGAATGTATTTTCCGGTAGAAATAGTCAAGTGTGTGATAGAGAGTTCCCGTGTGAGAACTCTGAAAGCCTTTCACCTGTGTGATTGCCCTGCAGAACCAACAGGCTTTCCATTCCAGTCACCGGGGGGCTCAGGACCCTCTGTCCCTTAGTGTGCTCTTGGCAGAAATGTAGTTCCTGGCTCCCTGCCAATTCTGGGTTCCCTTGGAGCATTGGGAGGATTTTGCTAGAAGGGAAGAGGGAGGGAGAATGTGGCTGAAGGCAGATTACAGAGAGGCCTTGGTGTAACATGGCAGTTTTGTGGCCGGGTGAGGTATGAGTGATGGCAAAATCAGGGCCAGGAGTGCTGCGGGTGGGGTAGAAGCAGGGCCCTGCAAGTAGTGTCAGCAATAGGAAAGGAAGACACTAAGCCAGGGATTGTACCTTTGCTTAACCCCTAGCTAGCAAGAGGGGGGTTTGATAGGTGATTTCTCTAACCTAGCAAATTATAGAAGTGCTAAATATTCAGCGGGCCTCAGTTTTGTAGGGGCATTCTTAACTCTAGAATGAGAATAACTCAGTTATTTGTTTTTCATTTTTATCTGAGGGTGTTTTGTCTTGTTTTTAAAGTAATACGTAGTAGTGACCTTGTTTGAAGTAGCTGACCTTTAATGCCCACCCTTTACAAGCAAGTTTAAACCATTGCTCCTTGCCCCTCCTTGCTGTGACCCAGGGCTTTAAAGGCATTGCCCTGGGGAAGAAGGAGCCTGGACAGTATCAGATTTTGCCTGTGTGTTCAAATTTTGTCATGGTGTGTGGTTGCATCAAAAACATCTAACCTGAGAAAAATTGTTAAATTTTGATTTTTGCAGAGTGGCCTCTATTTTGACCAGAGAAACTATAGCAGTCTTAGACATAGCAAGCCTGCCTCGACCTACTACTTTCGGGTTTGTCTAAAGTCTTTTGGTCTCATGTATCTTCCTCACCCTTAACACTTCTCTAATCCCCCATTTTGCATTTTGACCATTTGTAACTAATCTGTGAATGGTCTGGATATACCAGTTTTGATAACTGATTCATATAGTTCTTGAGTGTGTTTTCAGTGAGAACTGTTAGATCAGTTTGTAATGAAGATTTCAAACAGAAAAAGAATTTGTACAATGAACATTATGTTCTACTGCTTAGATTATATAGTTTATTTCCTAGTCTCATAATTATTTGTCTATTACTTTATCATTCCTTCTTTTGTTTTTGTTTATTTGTTTGTTTTTAAGACAGTCTCACTATGTGTGTAGCCCAGACTCAAACTCAAGATTCATCTGCCTCAGCCTCCTACTTGCTGATGTTAAGGTGGGGACTACAATGCCAGCTTCTGTCTAGTTTTTTTATTCATTTCAAAGTAAGCTATAGGTATCAATCCTTTCCCTGATAGATACTCTTAAAAAGTTGACACGTGAAAATAGAAGCTATGTATAGGAGGAGAGGGATGTTATTACTTGTTAGAATATTAATGTAAGCCAGGTATCGGTGGCGCACACCTTTAATCCCAGCACCCGGGAGGCAGAGGCAGGCGGATCTCTGTGAGTTTGAGGCCAGCCTGGGCTACAGATCGAGATCCAGGACAGGCACCAAAACTACACAGAGAAAAACCTGTCTCGACAAAAACAAAACAAAACAGAAACAATATTAATGTAATATTAGAATCTTGTTTTTCTTTTGTCTGTTTTGGGGTTTTGCTTGTTTTTGAGACATGGCGTGTCTCTGTAGCCTACTCATCCTGCCTCAGCTACCCGTGTGCCAGGGTTGCAGGCTAGTATCACCATAATCATCTAGAATCTTGTTTTTTTCCAAGACATTGAACATTCAAAGCATACTGTAATGTGTGGTACCCAGTACATTTAAAAGTATTCAGGAATGGGAACTAATCTACATGGTAGAATAATTCTTTAGCACATATGAGGCTCTGGATTCAATTCCGTGCACCGGAAAACACAGTCAACTGGAAAACCTGCCTGCATATACCATTTCACTATTCTTGTTTGTCTAGGTTTAGTGAAAAAGAACTGAAAATTGTGTCTTAAGTGATACCAGGGAAAGAAATGTAATTTCTTTATAAAAAGTACTTTTAGTGCATGGCCTCAGGTGACTAGTGCAGCTATCTGGTTAACTAGCATGCTTTTGAAAGATAGGCTTTCAAATCTATTTGGAAAAAGATAGTGATAACAGTAACTAAGAGCTCGCTTACTTGTAACCTGGCCAAGACCATTGGGAGTCTGTCACAAAATATTCGACAATGCCCCAGGAACTACTGGTGACTGGTCTGAGGCCACCATTTGACACACTCCCTCTGCCACGTCCCTCTTTCCTTCAGTGCTTTCCTGGGTCCCCGTCTCACATCCTGCCAGGCGTTTTCTAAAACTAAAAGGTTGTAGATAATGATAGAAGCCTGCTAGCGCTGATTTCCTTTCTTACCCCTAACAGTTTGCATTGCAGTGACTTCTGTCTTACTCATGTGTTTTTACACTACTCTAAGCACTTGGGGCTTGCGAATGAGTTATGGAATCTATAACCCTAACCTAAAGTCTTCTGCCTGCATGCTGCTGAGGTGCATTCTCCTGTGTGTCTGTTGTTGCTTATTTCTACTGCTCTGCCTCTCTTTGCAGTCTTCTTCCCTGTGCAGCGACCCGCTGGGGACATCTCCGAGTAAGAACAGGGTCAGTGCTTTCGAGGAGCATGTGACCGTCACAGCTGCCCCGCCTTTCTTTAAAAGGTTTAATTAGTTCACTTATTCCGTAGGCCTCCTCTACTGCAAATTCTGGTCTGCTGAGAAGTACCAGCCTGGTTTGTATTTCCCTCTTCCAGTGTGTGCTCTGTGGTAGGGCCGCTGTCATGGTGCTGACTGAGCTGTGTGGCCTTTCTGCCACATGTACTGCAGAGTACGCTGCCTGTGCTTGGGTTACAACTCCAGGTCGTGAAAAATAATCCTGTTCTCTTTGCCAGCGTAGAAATGGATGACTTCTGGTAGCTTATGTTAAGAATCTGTTTCCTTGGGTTCTGCCACATTCACTTAGTTTTCTTTGGTATGGCTATGACCCTAGGCTGTGGCAATCAAAAGTCGACTAAGCAAGCTGAGTTCAAAGCATAACCAGCAGCTTGTGTGACATGCTGGCTGTTGGTGCTTCTAGTTGTTTGACGTTCTGTGACCGGCTTCAGAAGACTGGGGCCCACACTGCTTACCCCTGTTTACTTCCTCACTGTTTGTTCTTTTAAGAGAGTAAATTGATTAATATTACCTTTCTCAAGTTATTACATGAGGGTGAAAGAAAATATCGTAGTGTTTTTTTAAACCAAGTATATTGTTGAAGTTATAATGAAACTGGTACGGTGATCTTGTATGTAAGTGAAGATAACACACCATCCTCAAACATTTTTTTGAATTATGGACTGCCAAAATAATAAAGATATTTTCAAAATAATTCCAGTACTAAATAAATAAGTAATATTCTTTTGTTCTTCAGGCATCATTGTATGATGGTGGATTATATAACCCCTATGGTTCTCGAACTGTAAGTCTGAATGGGAAGGGGATGGATACAGGAGGGGACAAGAAGTCATTTAGTCTGGCCCTGTACTAACGCTGTGACCCATTCATTGAGCCAGCTGTGAGAAGGTGACTACTGGAGATTATGAGTTAATATATGAGGGAGTCTATAGATATATTACCTTTCTCAAGTTATTACATGAGGGTGAAAGAAAATATCGTAGTGTTTTTTTAAACCAAGTATATTGTTGGGGCATCTCCTCCCCTGTTGAGGGTGGGTGTGAGGTAGAGTGCCAGGTGAAGAAAAGCAGCTATTTTCACCTTGGGCTCCAGAGTCAAGTTAAGAGCAGGGTCACTGTATTCCCAGCAGACAAACTGAGCTGGCCATTGTTGTAAAGCCTTTCTTCTTGGAAACTTTATAGCCATCTGAATACAGTTACTACTCATCGAGAGCAAGTTCCTCCCGAAGCAGTCCTGTGGTGAGCTCCCCAGCTTCTCTGCACACTTTAGGCATGTTTAGTTGCTCTACATTCTCACTTTAGAACAGAGTCGTGTGTTTCATCATCTTGTGCATGGATTATGTGCTTCCTCGTCCGTAAAAATCAAATACTAATATGTGCTAATTGACTGTTTTTGTGTGGACCCAAGTAATTTCTTAACTGAGTCTGGAACTGAGGCCATTGGACAGGCTTAAAGTTTTTGTGAAACCCTTTGCCTTTCAAGTACTGATCATTCCTGTTGGGTGTGCCGCTCTGGGCTCCCCCTGCGTATGTTCGTGCACTGCCATTTCCCTTGATTAGCAGCCCTTCTGTCTGTGGAGTGATGGGAGAAGTAAACAGACCCATTTAAAGCTTGTTCCGCACCACTACCTACTCTTTCTGGGGCATTACAGTTTATTTTGCAGTTTATATAGGTAAGTAATATTTGTAAAGAACAAGTCCAGAGTGAAGTTCCCCAGCAAGTCCTTACATGTAACCTGTTCACGGTCATTCTTTCAGAGATGTTTTGGACATGTATGAGTGCTTTTCATTTTGGCCACAAATGGCTTCCTTCTAGTATGTGTTACTCCTCTATGTTTTCTTAAGGTATCTTTCTGTGTCAGTGCATACAGATTTATAGCATCTGTTTTTGCCATTATTATAATTATTATAAACAATTAAGCTGTGCTCCCTTTCAATTATTTTCTCTTTGAGATAGTTTCATATCATCACATATTTTTAATCACAGTGTACTAGCTAGTGAATGCATAGATATCCATTTTACAAATCATTTTACTATTGATGGTTATTGAGATGGTCAGACATTTTCTATATGTACACATGTGCTGTGCATGCACATATGGAGGTTGGAGGTCGAAGTCAGGTGTCTATGCTGTTACTCCTCTCTACCTTATTTGTTTAGACAAAGTCTCACTTAACCTAGAGATCACTGTTTTGGCTAGACTGGCTGGCCAGCAAACCTCGGAAAGCCACTGTCCCCTAGTGCACACACTGCCACGCCTGGCTTTTACATAGGCACTCGGAGTCCAAATTAAGGCTTCATGCTTGCACAGCATCTCCCCAGCCTTATGATGAACATTCTGAGATTCTCTCTGCCTCTGCCTCTGTCTTTCTCTTCCTTGCACACCCATACACATGCCCAGACAGTATACTTACATGAGTACATCTGTAAGACAAATTGTATATCAGGAAATGTTAAGAATATAAGAGCATATGCATTTTTAAAAATAGATTATTTTTGTTTTATGTGTATAAATGTTTTGCTTACATACACATGCATGTACCAAGTACATGCCTGTGTCCACAAAGGCTAGAAGAGGATATTGTATCCTGGAACTGCACTTATAGGAGATTGTGAGCTACCATGGCTGCTGGGAACCAAACCTAGGTTCTTTGCAAGAACAGCAAATGATATTAACTATTGAGCCATCTTTCCAGGCGTCCTATTTTTTCAGGTTGGGTCTCACTATGTAGCTCTGGATAGTCTGGAACTTACTCTGTAGACTAAACTGGCCTCGAACTCACAGAGATCCATCTGTCTCCGCGGCCTCCTGAGTGCTGGGATTAAAGGTGTGGGTCACCATACTCGGAGCATATGCCTTGTAATTTTGCTATATATGACCGTATTGATAACTAAAAAGACTGCACTCATTTACATTTCCAAAGCAATTAATTAGGTGTGTAGGTGTTAGTTATTACTATCTTATTATTCTTACAGATTATTCCAAACTGGAGAAATTAATAATTATTACTAATCATTAAGATTACTTTGTATCAGAGAAAAGATGAGTTCTGTGGGCTTTCTTTTACATTTATGTTTGTAGTTCTTGACCCCCCAGAATGGCAGTTCTCAGAGATACCACCCTTGTACTTAATAAAAACTAGCATGGGTGTATTTAGGGCATAATGCCATTTTTACAAAAGAAGGTGTTTACTCTTAACCAACTGTATACTCAGATATTTTTAATATGTCAAATGTAGTGTCCCCCTGCAAAAAATTTTGATAATTTTTGTATTTTCAAAAACACAACAGTTCAGGTCCTTGCCCTTGTGTGCTGGCTAGAATCTGTTTCATTTGCAATTTGGGTTTAGAATGACTACCTTAGTGATGTCAAAATGGCATCTTAGTGACATCAGAATGTGGATAAACCAGTGTGCCAAGGATGAGTTCTGCAGTGGAGTGGGAAGGACACGGTCCTGTGAGGGATAAGAATAGTACCGTCACCGCCAGCTGCACAGGAATGAGTACCAGGAAATGAGTCACTGCCGCAGGCTTTGCTGGTAGGAACTTCTTTGACATATGTTATTTCATTTTAAAACATTTTTTTTTCTTTTTCAAATTGAAATCCTAAGTGTATTTATTGATCTCTCAAGGGACTTTACAGATCTGCAAGTCTAAAAAACCATGACCTCCCTAGCTGATTTTGTCTAGTTTGCTTATACCCTTACCAGTGTTTAACTTAAATAAAAGAGAGTTTTGCTTTATTCTTTGTGCTTTGGGGAAGTATCTTGATTTTTAGTGATTCTTCTTCATTATGCTTTAAGCAGCTTCTCTCTTTAATGGTGCACAGTGGCTCATGCCGATTAATGCTGTGTAGAGTGGCCTCCTGAACTCGCGCAGTGTGTTTGTAGTCTGTGAGACCGTTGTGGAAATTGAATCTTTTTCACTTTCTGTAGTCCATCGATGATGATACTGCAAGCATTATGTCTTCTGAGCGTGCCAGTCGTGGGCGAAGGGACAGTGTGGTGAGCATGGTCTGCATGCAAACAAATACAGCTTTTACAGTGACAACAGTGTGTGATTATGTGAAATATACTGCAAAGTAAAATTTGTATTTTCCTTAAATACAGTTTATATGAACATTTTGCTTTGTAATGAGTCATAGACTTGTGTGTCTTATGTACAAATCATTTATTGAAAACTTTCACTTTATTTGCTGTTTTTTTATGTACACATTTTATCTGCTTGTTTTTCAAAATGAGCCTTTCAAAGCAAGAGTCACACTTGTACCATTGTATAGTGCTTGTGTGTAAGACTGTGACTTTTGTCAGCTGTTGATGGCAAGATTTAAAAACACTAGTTCAGACATTTTGCCCAGTTAATCATTGTGGACATGGTAATAGTTTCATGTTATTTTTTAATGAAGCTGGAAATTTCGTGGAGTGGCATTTTTGTTCTCTATAAGGAACTGATGTGGAAATTAGAGTAGAGGACTGTGTGTCAGCTTGGAGCTAGAATAAAGAGGCCTTGAAGCTGTAATTCCTTCCAGAAAAGGTGCAGGCTCAATTAATGTGGACGATTATAAACCCAAAGTTCTCATAAAGGGAGCACCACATGTTTGTGTGAAATAAAGTCTCCTAATTAAAGCATTTGTGCTCCCTTAGCCATCCAGGTAATGCTCATACTTATGGCTGAAGGAAGCACCTTGGAAGCAGTGGTGTTAAGTGCTAGGAGTGATGTGTTAAACCAAGGACAGATCTCTGACTTTACGGCGCTTGTGTCCTAGTCAAAGACATAGAACTAAATTAGTGAAGAAAGGAACACACAAGGAAGGCAGCTCAGGGTGTGAAGAAGAGAGCAGCTGAGTGTGATGGAGAGAGGACCTTGAGGTGATAGAGGATCTGTGAGTGACCCTGGGAGAGCCCTCAGAGACAGTGACTTCTGATAGAAGAGGCTCAGCTGTTTGAAGAGCAAGAGAAGGGACTTCTCAGGCTGGTCTTCCTCATTATTTTGTCCAACAGTTCCTGATATGACAAGTGAAGAGAAAGAAATTAATGTGGAAATTGAGTATTGCCAGAGTTGATAGCTATAAGGAATTATAATATTGAAAAATATAGTAGAGATTTGATAGTGGCCCGGAGCACTGCCCCCACCAGCTAAGGTTCCCAGTGCTTCAGTGTGGAAGGTTTGCTTGTCATGAGCTCAGGCAGAAAACGGTCTAGAGCATAGATGTGCAATTGATACCGATGAGAGAGCTTACTTTAGGGAGCTGTGACTTCACTTAGGTGCCTCTTTTCTTTTTTTACTATTTGAAATAGCTCGATTGTAAATGTTTCCTCATTTTGTGATACTTTCTCAAACATCAAATGAAGACGGGCACACAACCCCCAGTTAGCTAGTGTTTCTTTCTTCTTTCTAACTTCTAAAGCTTCTTGTTTTCTCTGACTGGAAGGTCTCTGCTGCTGACTATTTTAGTCGCTCCAATCGTAGGGGGAGTGTTGTCTCTGAGGTGGATGACGCCGGCATCTCAGACTTGACCAGCGTGAGTGTATTGCATGGGGTCATTGTGTTATCCCAGACATGTGACTAACAGCTTATGTAGTAGCTATTTTTAAAGTTCGGAATTTAATTCACTCCTTAGACATATTTACTTGATCATATTAACCTGAAACATAATTATTTTGGAATATATTTGTTTTTTTTTGTTTGTTTGTTTTTTTGAGACAGGGTTTCTCTGTGTAGCTTTGCGCCTTTCCTGGAACTCACTTGGTAGCCCAGGCTGGCCTCGAACTCAGAGAGATCCTCCTGGCTCTGCCTCTCGAGTGCTGGGATTAAAGGCGTGCGCCACCACTGCCCGGCTGGAATATATTTGTTAAGATGTTTTAAAATCCCTCTTTCTTTTACCCCGTGGAATCCCCTTATAGAACTCATTAGCATATTCAATGATTCCTAATATCATGCTAATTTTGTTTGGTTTTTTTTTTCACTGTTCTTTTTTTCTGAATTATTTTAGAGCCAGTCCATTTACATCATGTCATTTCCTAACAGGTAGTTGATATGCATACCTAACCTACTGTTCCTAAGGAAATAAACAAGTAGTTTCCTAACACCAGCTCACACTTGGCCCATATTCAGGTGCTTTTGGTTTACTTTTTGCCCCCTTCTTGTTTTGATAAGTCTATAAAGTGTTAGACTTTCAAAGCTGAATAATAAAGAATGTGACTTGGTAAAATGCCACTGATTTTCAGTAGTCAGAGAGAGGCTGAAGGGGTTTGAACGTGGACTCTGGATTGGTCTGAAGCACCCTTCCTGGTGCTTGGGGACTGAGTGGAAGTAGAGTGTCCTTGGAGGCACCTGTGGGTGCCACCCTTCATGTACTTTGGGACCTGCCTGCTGAGCTCATCTCTCCAGCCCCTCCCCCACTGGCTTGGCGTCATGCAGACAAGCCCCATTCTGATGGTCCAGCACTTTGGAGAGGATGAGAGGTAGCAGTTCTTAGAAATGCAGAGATTGGTTTTTATTAGCACTTCACTTATGAAGTAGCTAGTTCTGAACTATTTTAATCCTCGAAAATCTTAATTATTTTAATTGTGGTCATAATTATTCCACATTATTAGCTTAAATCTGGCCATACAGCAATCTCATCTTGCTGTGGATTGAACCAAGGACTTGGTCTATTATGAAATTAGAAGCTGGTTTCCCAGTTATTCTGAAATGTTACCTATTTTATTAACCTGCTTAGTAACCTCTTTTTAATTTTTAGAACATTTTCATTTATGTTTATGTGTATGTATGCTCACATGAACATACATACACATAAACATACACATGACCGATGTGTAGGTCAGAGGACAGCTTGCAGGAGTTGGTTTTCTCCTTTGATGTGGTCCTGGGGACCACATGTCATGAGGCTCACTGGCAAGTGCCTTTTACCTGCTGAGCCATCTCACTGGTCCATTGGTACCCGCTTTTTCCCCATAGATATAATTGAATTTACTGTATATACCTGTTTTCTTGATAGCTTGTTCTCTGTTAGTCTCACAATTCATGATGCCTGAATAGGGGTTGTATCATTTGTACATTTCGTTCTTGGCAGTTTGCTTTAGTAATTATATAGAAATGAAGAACGTTACAGTTTGTCTCTCCCTGCCTCTCTGAATTAAATACCTCTTTAATGTAAGCAAAAGATTATTTATTAAATAAAGTCTTCCTGTTATTTCATAGCCTGAAAGCCATTGCCTTTTTAAGTAGCTATAAAATATCATTAATTTTGCTTTCTGATAATGTCCTCTAAACAGGCGACTTTCTCTAATTTAAAAAGCATATGCTTTAGTTCACTTCATTGAAGCAGATGTAAAAGGGATTTATATTGGTCCATCTGTCCCTGTCCCCGGCTCTGCGTTTGCAAGATGCTTTCTAGCTTCCATGTTGTGGGCCCATTGTATGCTCACAGGGTGAGAATCCTGGCTCCAGGAGGTGCTGGAAAAAGATGCCAGCCAGCCAGTTCTACAAGACAACAGGATTCACATGCTGTAAGCGCCAGTCTTGCTCTGTAGGTCAGGGTAGAGTAAAGGAAAAGAAATGTGTACTGGCTTACTGTTCATTGCACCAGTCTTTTGAAAGAAATCCTTAACCAGATTCACTTCCAGAAATCATTAAGCCTATTGTTCTCTTCCCTTCTATGGTTATGGAATCAGATCCACTTTCTGTGTTTTGTTTTTTATTAAACAAGTTTTAGATAACCTTGTCATTATTAGCTTGAGCATTCTTAATACAAAAATCCAAAATTCTTTATGTTCTAAAATCTAAAAGTTTTTGAGTACCTTCATCATGCTGTGTAAGCTGGATTGTTATAATATATCAAATTAACTTATGTGTATAAAATGTGAAATGTAGATGCATTCTATGTTTAGACTTAGGTACCAAGATATCCCAGTATGTATATATGATTATTTCTACAACTGGAAAAAAATCCTAAATTTGAAACACTTCTTTTCCCAAGTATATGAAATGAAGGACATTTATTAGAAGTTAATGGATAATTGTGACCTAGTGAATACATTTAACAAACCGCACTGTAAACACTTTATTTAGAGTATGCTTTTATACCTTAAACATGACTAAATTTTATTGCATTCAAAAAGGCTTTTCAAGATTTATCTGGCAGGTACTTTCAGTCATCATTATAGACATTAGCTTGTCATTGCAATACACCTCTATAGAGTCAGCCTCAGAAGTGAGACCGAAGGAGTCTTTGGCCAAGTCACTGCAGCCAACATTATAGACATTAGCTTGTCATTGCAATACACCTCTATAGAGTCAGCCTCAGAAGTGAGACCGAAGGAGTCTTTGGCCAAGTCACTGCAGCCAACATAATTGGACTGTGGCATGGCTGCTTTATGCTGGCTTCACGATTCTGGAGGTTTGGCGCATGATCAGTTTGCATTGCGACAGTTGGGATCTATTAGAATACAGTGAACACGATAGAGTCAGCATTGTGGTGGCTTCAGTGATGCAGCTTCTGAAATGTAAGATTATTCCAAGGTGATGCTCTAGTAAAATGGGTGAGTTTTATAAGAAAGGTGAGATGAAGAGGGATTTCAGATGGACTTGAATATTTTAATTTTGAGTACTTCTTTTCTCATTAACTTACTAGCAGAAAAGAATTAGAAAGTACTTATAAAATAAGGCAGTTTATGAAGATACACTTCTTGACTTTGAACGACACTAACTAGTGGGCAGTGCTTTTCACCAGTGCAGCTTGAGAGGAGTTCTTCCTCATTTAGTGCAGAGTGGCTTTCATTGCTTGCTTGTTGTAATACATTTGGTGTTGCTTTTAAGTTAATCCAAATTAATTAAAATGATTTCCTTTTGAAAGTATTACAGCAAGAAGTGAAACATCAAAACCCAGCATTTGTATTACCAGTAAGAGTACTAGTTGAGTAAAAGGTCTTTATTAAACATGGTAACTGGGTAATAAAAAATATGCTAGAAACTTTTCCATGTGAGGAGGTTGGGTTAAAGTCATCTGAGCAAAAGCAGAAATGCTTCCTGTTTAGTAATTCACCAAAGAAGGTTTTCAAATCTCCTTTCTGGATTGGGCTGGGAAGGTTGATCTCAGAGTTCAGGACTGGGAATATTTTATTTTCATTTAGTTTTAACTTCCTATGTCACTTTCCCCACTAAGGCTAATAGTATATGCAAGTAAATATGCATGCTGGAGTTCATGAAACATGTTCAGAAACAGCTGGGACCGTTAGTAATTGCTTAACCTCCAGCAAAGTTTCCCACCTCTGATTTTTTTCCCTTAGCTCTAGTTAGAATTTTGGAATAGATCTTTAAGGAACCTTCCTTCTTGAAGTGGGTCTGGGAAGCCAGGAAACCCGAGTTAGCAGCTGAAGATAGGTTAGTCTGACTGTGGCATGTTGAGATAATGTGTCAATGTGGAGATATTAAAATAAGTGAAGCCTGTGAGTACAGATGGATGGAGTGGATTCTGAGCCCGTATACACTAAGTGCTATTCCTTGTTTGAGTACAGAAAAGGAAATGCAGATACAAGGATTGCATGATTGAGATCAGACAACAAATGGATCGGTGTCTCAGTGTCGGGGGATAGGAAATGCTATGAGGAGAAATGAAGTAGTCTCAAAACTTTGAGACTTGGGAGGAAAAGCAAGGGAAAAAGAAGATGGAGATTGTGTCTGCGACATTGTTGTTAAGATTTTTAGAGACTTGGGGTCGATTGTCCTTGGCAGAGCAGAGCCTGGTGGGGAGAAAGGCTGATTTCTTATACCTTTTTGTACTGCTTGAGTTTGCCGTGTGTGTAAGAAAACATATGTGTATATAACCTGCTATGGGCATTCAATAGTTTTATGTGTGCATTTTGTGTCTTAATGTTTAAAACATTTTTATATTGACAGTTTCAGTGCTCATATTGAGGTTTGTATATAGTTTTCTTTAATGTATTTATTAAATACCATGAAGAGAAAAATCAGTCTAAACAATCTAAAATTTTGAGTCTATGCAGCTTGCTTCCAGTCTGTATTCCTTAGGCTATGAACTAAAAATTCTTGACATTTTGTTACAACTTTTATTTCAGTTTTAATGTATTTACTTTTGATTCTACACATCACTGAACTTAGAAAGCCCCATTGAGATTGCTCGTCTCCCCACAAAACAAGTCAGCATGTTGTACATCTTCTTGATCCTCATCTCTCTTTTTTTTTCTAGTTGGATGAAAAATCGGACAAACAGTATGCTGAAAATTACACAAGAGTGAGTATAAAATTCTTGATAGGATGGAGCTCTCAAGGTCAGCCCTGCACTTCCTGTGACTCGTTCCTCTTGTCCAGCACAATTGGCCAATCGAGCTGCCCTTCCCGTTGTCTGTTTCCTGTCCTTGACCCCTCAGAATTCCTCCAGCCTTAGATCATGTGAAAGCCCTGGGAAGAGAGAAGCCTGAGTTTTATTTCACAGGACGTCATCCCTAAAGCTCTTGGCTACTCCTTTGAGTCTCACTTTCTAAAAACTGATATTGAGAAACCGTTAAACATGAAAATGAAATATCTAGGAACGGACCAACAAACCCATAGCTTTGATTTTTTTTTTTTTTCTTATAGCTAAGTTACTTCTATAAGGAAAGTAGGATAACTCGGATGTAGAGGAGTGCCTCTGTAGTAAAGTTTCTATTTTCTAAACATATTTTTAAGAAGCCAGGGAAATGATCTATTGTATTAAATTTTATAATGCAAAACTGTAAGCCTATGCAATTTTAGTTGTAGTTTTTTTTTTTTTTAGCCACATTCTAGAAAAAGCAAAATAATATTCAACCCAAATAACCAACACATTTCAAAGTAGCATCAATGTAGATGTTTTGTTTGGTGATGTTTGAGTCAGGGGCCTGGTATATAGCCTAGGCTGACCTTGACTTCCTGCCTCAGCCTATTGCTGGCATTACAGTACTGCACCACTGTACTCTACTTAGAAATGATTGTGATGATGTACTTTGTGCACTCTTTTTCTGCAATAAACCCTCAAAATCTGGTGTATATTTTGTACTTATATCTCTTAACTACACTTCAGGTGGTTTCTTATGGCTCTTAACAAGTATTCTAGGTAACACACATCTCCTCTATTTATTAGTCAGGAGTGGGGTTTAGAGAGAACAGTCTAAATTCATAGCCATGTACAGTGTTCTTGCTCTTAGCTACAAATAGGTTCATCTTTCTCAGCAGAGATGAGCTGCTTAAGCAATGTTAGGATCTGAGGTAGGGAAGTGCTAATTAGACATTAGTTAGGAACAACTAATGTTGTTCTAAAACAACTCTACATTAGCCTGAGAGCTCACCCAGGTAGTGTTTGGATATAACAGAGATAAGCCTAGAATACAAAAGCTTCTATAAAAATTATTTCCACCTTTGAATTTTAGATTCTGGTAAAGTGTTTGAGATAATGAAATGATACTTTATATGCCTGGCCTTTTTCTCTCTCCAAACCAATCTAAATTGCCAACGTGAATTGCACTTGGTAATCTCTCGACTGCATTGTTAGAATGTTCATCTGAAGCTCTCACCTGCTTCTACCACTCTGCCCCATGTTTAATCTTCACAGCAAATGTGTCGTGCCATTTTCTCTCTTTTCCAGCCTTCTTCTCGAAATTCTGCCTCAGCAACGACACCTCTAAGCGGGAACTCATCCAGACGGGGCAGCGGGGACACCAGCAGCTTAATAGACCCAGATACCTCATTGAGTGAACTTCGGGTAAACCACAGTTTGTCTGCCTTTGCAAAGCAGCCTGGGTTTCTTTGTAGTTTGTGGAGCTTTTTAACATTTAATGTGACTTAGGAGGAACAAAATAGGGTTTCTGTAAAAACATGGTTGTCACATCTCAAAATCCCACTTGGATGTTTCAGAGCTGAAAGGAAGGGGATTAGATCATTCTTTTTTTCAGTTATCTTTTCTGAAGATGTGATGGCATTGTAATGGATTCTTCCAATGACAAACAGTTATGTAAAATATATGAAAGTAATTTCTTTAAGAATGACCTTGCCATGTTTTAATTGGAAAATATTTGGATTTACAAAGAATAGCAGACTGTGG